CTCTTTTTTTGGGAATTTTTCGGTAAATTGTTCCTTTGTCATAGGTGACTAAAGCAACAATTAAAGAAGTCGTGCAGACTCCAGGGTTAGGTGACCAGGGGTATGGGGAACAGCGGTGAGGCGTGATGATGAATAACGAGATCTCGAGAGATCCGAGAATGGTACAGCCAAGGTTTCGGCACTATTCCCTCCTTCAGAGCCTGTAAATCGAAACGTTTTTGCGGAGCAATTCATCGACCAGTCTCATTTTAAATTGGGTATGTGACAAGAGGATCGTAATTCGCCGCGTTGGTGGGCGTCGCGTGCGACGTTCGCGCTCGCAAATAACGATGGTTCCAGGTTGAGGATGGCACAAAAAGCAGATCAGAACCTCAAATGTGTACGATTACGGGGTCTACGTGAATTCCGGTGCTCCAATTGACAGGTTAACACGAGTTAAGAAACTGTCGCGCCCGTCGCCGCGCGCGGCGGAGCGGCAAATTACGATCCTCTTGCCCGTCTCCCTTTTAAATTACATAATGAAAATCCAAAGGTGAACAGTACATGAGATGATATTGTAAACAAGGCCGTCCTTCTTGGGAAATATCCCAGGTTGTAATAATCAGGAAAAGCTCATGGAATTGGCCGTTATAAGGAACTACGTGAATAATGAAACGTCTACATACCTTCAGCGGTAAACGTTCATCCATAACAATATGTAACTCGACAAAAGCTTTTGTACCCATGTGGTAGACCATGAAATGGTCCAGGCATCTAAACACGTTTGGTTTTACGATCCGATGAGCAGGCAATCAAAGGAAGTGCTAAATCCAAAAACGATCTCTCAAGATTTGTTGAAGTGAAATTGAAAACAGGCAGCGGGAGGGGTTACTCTGTGCCTTGAGCGATGCACCACTACGATTCGAGAATCGTGTGAGATCTTCGTCCACTCTCCCTCCCACCGCTATCATCCTGGACCACTGCAAATGGCCACAAACGCATAGTCGGGCAGAAGGCAGAGAGGAGTGTCGGAAACATCCCAATAGACATGAGGCTAGTTGGCGAAACGATCTGCACCAGAGCGCGGCGTGTCTCCTTCACCCCCACCTCGTTGGGTCTCGTAACTGGTCGTGTTGAGGGACGATGCTACCGGTTATTCGCTCACAGGATAAGGAACCTCTCAGTGACCTCTCCGCTCTTATACTCATTTAATGTCTCCGGTCAATGGTCCCTCTTCTCCTCCACTTCACTCCTCGCGTCACTCAACCGATTCCTCCACTTTCCGTTCACTTTTTCCTGAATGGATCTCCAGTTTTCCCAGAAAACCACGTCAAGTGCGAAGATGCATGTATAGCGCCAGTAAAAGGGGGAAAACTGAGAAAAAAAAATAAAAACAGAAAACATTTTCCTCGAAGGCAAACACACCCCTCCCCTCCAGCGACCAAATGCAATCCCACATCGCTGGGAATCCGCAACGTGTGATGTGCAATGGTGATAAAGCAAGGATGCATTAATTCTAGAAACAGTGGCGATGGCCATCGGCAGAGTAGAAGTTCAAAGGGGGATATCTACCTCCGAGGTGACGTCTGTACAGCAAAGTGCGGCTACAGGATGAACTTTCTCCATCGTTGCAGTGGGCCAAAGATTAGCGGTAGAGCACAATCGACCAACGCGATGGAATGGAGTAAATGAGCGACCGAAACGCTCGAGTGGTATAGTCTTAATGCGGCCCTATATTCAGTTGGCAGGAAGCTTCGCCCATAGAAAAAGAGGTCCTATGGTAGGGCAATTTCCGACTTTTCTGACTACTGTTTGGAACATACCGTATTCTTTCGTCATGTTCGATAGCGATCCGCAGTATTCGGCTCACTTCTTCTTGCTCCGCTCGACGTCCTACGAGCTGAGGTACGCTCTCAACGGCATGACGAAACCACGATATTGCTATTATCGTGCTAAAAGATTAAATTATAATAGTAGCATAACCCCCCCCCCAATCCGTCTTTATATTCTTTGGACTCCAGGCGAGAAAGAGGTAGGGAGCTTTTCGAGTATTCAAGCACAGTTGTCAATGTGCCTGTTTATTTTTAAATACATGTGAGCTTCGCAAAGCTTGTGCAAGCTTCAGTTTCACAGATTTTTTGAAGCTTCTTCATATAAAACGTCTTCGTATGGAAAGCGCCAGGGGCCAGCTTTTCTATCTGAACCTATGAGAAGAGAGAAAGTAGTTTTCGAGAGTGAACAATTTGCTTTGTCGAGGCGGGCTCACCATCTTTCTCTATTCCCTTCGAAATGACTCCCCCCTCCCCGTACTCTTTTCAAGGACTATAACCGCACCAGAAGATAACTCAGGCGCTGTCCCGCTTAGCTGGGGGCGAGGACACGAGTTCTGCATAACCACGAATATTCGAAGTAATAATTGGCCAAGAATAGCATCTCCGATCACCCCATCCGCTCAGCAACGAAATTCCTGACAGGTTCATTAACAAGGTACCCCCACCCTCTCCTCCTATCACTGATCGTTATCTCCAAGCTCCCATTTTTTTCAAACTGGGTTGACGAATTCAAACAATTTCAGACAAGGCGTCGCCCACGCACCTCAACACGATCGCTCCGATTGGATCAGCGATCCTCCAGTATTTATCACCAATGTAAGCAAAGATGACTGCCGAAATACGACTTGCCACATCGTTCCTGCAATTAATTGAAAATGGAAATGAAAGGCGCTGAGGCAGCGTTCAGATTTCGCGATCATGTGCGCCTTCGCGCACCGTCGCGAAGTCTGAACGCTGCAGTGAAGGAATTAAAGATTGGAGCTCGCTACTTTGGAGATAATGGTCCAAATGAGCAAGCTACATAGTCAGTACAATTTTGAATGTAGTTCGACGCTTGAATGACCCAGATTTGCTAGATCTAGGAGATTACCCCTTCTATGTAATGACAACTGCCTGACTTTTCACTGGTTGACGACTTTGTTCGCTGTAGATGCTGGGGCGTGTTTCGGGAAAGGGGGTGGAAAGGGAAGGGCGGGAACTGGCGCGCGGTCAGCCCTTTCTTCACTAATTGTGTAAGTGGGCGAACGACACGGATGGGTGGGAGATGGGTTGACACCGTTCCAAACCCACCTCCTGACACGCCCCAGCATCCGCAGCGAACATGACTATGCGACTGAATGTGGAATTAAGTGCTAGTCAACTTCCAACAGACGGCAAACTTGAAACAACGGCTACCTGAGATCCATAGCTATGACGATGGAAAAAGGAGTTCCTCTTTTGTAGCAAGCATATGACAGCATTGCCTTAAGTGAGGTCTGTAGCCCCATGAGTACGAGCGTGGTTGTAGTCATTTCAGGTTTACTCTGTAATTATGGCATTTAGGCAGTTGTAATGGCAGGACAACTAAGAGTAGCTAGGTATGGGTCAAGAGAGAACAAGGTTGAGGGCACAAGGGCCGCAACTACCTTTTGTGTGGAAAACGGCTTGTAGCTTGAATGGCTTGATCGATGCAGCCAATTGGGCCTTGTGGTCAACTTTGAATTACAGTATGGTTCGCTGAGAGAGAGCGGCGGTCGCGGCGCGGTTTTGGCACTAGGGCATCGTGGTCAACTATCATCACCAGGAGTAACATCTTGGGTTGCCTACTATGAACTCAGCATGGGCATATCACCACACTATGCTCACAAAAGCATCGAATCCTGTATAATAATGTTGATGATGTGCCGTTTCCCACAAAACTTCCGTTGAACTATAGGTAAAGTCCTGTAAGGGAGGAAACACAAACCGCCTTTCCTCAATCATGTTTTAGGCACACTTCCGCCCAGTCCAAAAGTGAAGGAACATTCCTCGTTAAAGTCTACCTGCTTCCTTAACTTAAGCAATCTGCGCTGAAACAGCTTCTTCAAGAATCTGCAGGGAGGCAATTGCAACAACCTACTGTAACACCTTGCATACATTGTCGCAGCAATTCAAGCAATTTCATTTTGCGGTTCCTGCAGTTACATGCCACATTAGAATGAGTGATATATACAGTGCGCCTTCAGCAATGCGAAGCATAGGGCACCTTTATAAGCAACGCTTCTGACAATGTACTCTATCTGGGGAAACGGTGGCAGGAGGTGTACTCTTTGATTGGTTAAATGCTCTTTATGATTCCAACGGGTTGGTTCAGATAATTCCCGTTGACTCAGAGGCCAGGGCACGCCATCTTTGTGATCATCAACAAGGGGGGTCGTATTTGCCCGCGATGGAGGGGGGGGTCGTAAACGCATGGCCCATGTTGAAGTGGAGAGAGCGGTGATACACGGTACAAGTGAAAAGAAGCTCAAAAGGGACGATGTAGATGACAATAAATAGAACTAGGCACTATCGAACTATTCCTAGGCCAAAAACTAAAAAAAATATTGCTGAAAACTTTTTCCTCCTTCCTCACAAAAAAACTTCAAGACACTTTGCCCACCAACCCTCCTCATCTGGTCTAGATAAATCCCAATCCACTAATCCGCAAAATCTAGAAAAGAATCCATTGCAAAAGCTACCTATGAAACCGTAGAAATTGAATCCTGAGCAATTTCCTCACAACAAAATCAAACTCAACAAAACAAAATCAAACTCAACAAAAACAAACAATCAAAATAATTCACAGCCAGCTGGGAACCGGAACTATGGATTACTTTTGAATTTTGGCTGTTCGCGGTCAGCGCGCTCATACAAGCTCATTGGTGCGCGCTATTTTACGGCCTGGAGCCAATTTCAAGCCAAACACGTGAAAAGTACCCCTCATTTGAACACCCATAACTTCGTTGAAAGTGAAGCTATCGGAGAGGGGTAAGTGGGAATGAGTAGAGCTAGGTTGGCTCTTGTCACCTGAATTGAGCGATTTCAAAAACGTTCCGATTCCGCAGATTTTCACGGCCTTTCGTAAAAAAAGAAGAATTCTGCCGGAAGCGGGAAAATTTCTGCTTTCCAGCAAGGCTTTAATTTTCTCCTAGGCCTGCTGTTCGAAAAATTTCCCCGTTGTGATCATTTCGTGATCACCTGCCACAAGATCCCCGAAAAATCATAACAACCCGTCCGAAGCCAGGAACCTCCAGTTGTCTTTGGGAGACTTTGGTATGCTTCTGAAACACATGTTTCCGCAAAGGGTATTAGGAAATAGTCTATTGGGCGCCAATTGGCATCACCTGTGCAATGCGCCATGCATGGGGCTTTCACGCAGGTTTTTGAAAGGTGTAACTTCTAGATAGGGCTTCCCAAGTGCAAGCAAATGTGCTCCTACGATCAGAAAAGTCCGGGAATGTACTTTCATCTGTTTATTCATCGTCAGTCGTAAGTCCTTTCCATTGTTATAAATTCATGGTGCCCTTGTGGGCGGTGATATCAGCTCCGTGGTTCATCGACGCCTCCCTCCGACGTATTAGTCAAATGTACAAGACCAGCGGCGCAATGCTGCGACGTGCTTGGGACGGTACGCGGTAAGGTACTGCGACCGGTCCCCCACACCCCCCCCCCGCTCGACAGCAAAATTTTGTAAAAAAACCAGAAATTTTTTGGGGAAAAATAGACAAAGTGGTAGGAGGTTGGAAAAATCTAGGGAAGAGGTAACATGGGGAGGGGGGTCGTACTTGAAGATGGAATTAGGGAAAATGATCACAACGCAATGGCGTGCCCTGCTCAGTGGAGCCGTTCTGGTGAAGCATTTTGGCCAGCTTTTGGATTTGACCCCATCAAGTTGGTTGAGTATGGCGAGACTTTCTACATTCCTTACAGTGACTCGAACTCTGAAAATTGAAAAACGCACATACACACTGCGATCAAAAGGGTTCACTTCCACAATTGGGTAACCTTCGTCTAATTAGAGTGTACATTATGAGCCACATTGTGTCAAGTCATTCAAAAGCTTTCGAATTGAAAAACTCTAATTTGTTCCATCACTAGAAATTCGTCAGGTGCGCGCCTGATTTTCGATTGTGCAAAATACGAGCGCTTTCATTCGATTGTGCAAAATACGAGCGCTTTCATTCGATTGTGCAGAATACGAGCGCTTTCATACTTCGTGGTTATGCGATCGTATGAGCGCGCGCTTCGTCTTCAGGGTAATCGTGCCGGGACCGCGCGCCGGATGCTCAAGTGCGATTTTGCCGTTTACCTCACGTCGGGGAGGGTTCTGACGCGGCGCCAGCGGTTTTTCACTTTAATTGGTTGTCCGCTTCTCTTTTTGTAGTAAACTGGAGAGGAACAACCTGTAAATGCGTCCAGAAAAAACTCTTCCTAAGCCGTGCACCCCCAGAATTCACAGCGAGCAAACTGTGGCAAGATAGTGGCGCGCATTCATGTCGCCGGAATTCTGGATTCCTGCCCATACAAGGAAATAAACGGGTAAGTTTAAGACTATCGCACCGATTCGTCAAGAATGTGGTCCAGCGCTTGCATTGCCATTCCTATGTTAGCAAATGCCATCAGAGCAGCGCAGATCAGCACACCAATTGATTCGAGCCTGCAAGAAGGATGACTTAGTGTACGGCTCCTGAAAAGGATCATACAATGAGTAGTCTTGTGTCGATAAAAGGACTCCACGTACGATTTTTTTCTAAGGATGATGAGGGTGACAGAGGAGCTGGATTTCGGGCTGAGCCGGCCTGTTCCCATACCTTGTTGAAGCGGGTAAGCAATAACAGCCGGTGGAAGAGAAGTTGGCGCGATGCCGACTACAGCTCCCCAAAATGCCCCACCGTCTGCAGCGAAACCGACTGACCAACTTATCAACGAATGTCTCTGTCTACAGATTGCAGTATAATAATTCCTCTATTTAAAAGCTTCACAGCTCTCCTTCTCCGCCAGGAAACAGCGGGTTGAGAATACGACCCCGTGGAAGGAAAATAAACATGTTGCGGTTTTAAAATCTAGAAAAAAGCCACCCTATGCTTGGGTATGGACCACTATGTCAGGGGATTTCGTGAAGGAGATTGAGGACGGGACATTCTCAAACGACTAGTTCGCAACGGAGTCCACTGACAAAGACCGAAAAACGAAGGGAGAAGTCGAAAAGTTGAAATTCCATACGAAGTTCAAATGTATGACGCATTCAAGGTAGCAAAAAAATCGAAGATAAGCGCTGTCTCCGCTCATGCGTTCATCAGTCGGGTCCAACCCTCAGACCATCAATAGGGGTGGTCGCCACAAGGCATCGCCCAGACTTGGCGATGACGCGCGTTATCGCGAAGTCGCTATGCTCCTAACATGAACCTCCTGACTAGTGTTCCGAGTCTTCACAAAAACGTACCTTTCTCTCCCTCTTGGATAATTGAACGTATCGACTTGTTTGATGAGTTGACGACAGCTGTTCATTACAGCCCCACAGAAAAGGTCCATGAATGAGTCAATGAAGGTGCTGAAAATTGTAATTAATCACTGTGAATGAACCAACCACTGTAGAACTGGAAATCTTATACGGCACTTTTCGCCGAATCCTCAGGGTCAAAGCCACATTCCGCG